ACGTATAGAAGGCATGAAGGCCCAGACCTGTACACCGTCGTATTTTTGTGCGGGTGTGAATGTGAATATTTTATGTAATTTTGCCTTTGAAGAAATTGATGCTAAAGCGTATGCCCACACATATGGCGTCATGAAAGGAAAATATGGCACAGAGGTCGAAACTAACCTAGCATCGAAAATAGCTTAAAGTATTAAGAAATATTTCATCGAAAATCCTTCTCGTTTAGAGCATTTTAAAGAAAGTTTTCCCCAAAAGAGAAGCAGTAAGCCTCATATTAATCAGATCTATAATGAAGCTGTAGACACGCACTGTACACAAAATCATTAACAAAAGGCTGCAAGACGACAAGAAATATCCCCTACAAAATGGAGCATTGAGTTTGGCCTATGGACACTGGAGGATACAGGAATAGGAGTGCTAAACACTCCAAAAAGGTTCACTTTTAGGACAGATTTTTCTAGCACTTGAACATCAGTGGTAGATGTAGTTTTACTTATATATTGTCCATGATATAGTAGGTTTTACATTGTACGTGTTATGTCAGATGTATGATCTTATGAAAAACATAATAAATTTGATGCATTATCAATAGATTTGAGTTTCACTTTACCCACAATGCATTGCCCAAGATAGCATAAATAGTGTAAATAGATAAAGTTTAAGATTTTACGAAAGAACGTCGAGATGTAGTTTACTGATCCCAAGGCTTGTTTCTAGAAAAAAACGCCTTCAAAGACATCATCATCGCCGCCCTCCGAGCTGTCGCCGCCACTATCACCACAGGAGGTCAGTCATGTATATTCGCCACCGCCGTCTCCGCAGGAAGTAATGTGACATTTAAAAAAACCAAGATATCACCTGCTGTTACCCTCTTTTCCATGGAGCCACACATTATTGTGTTGTAGGGGAAACAAAAGAAAAAATCCTCGATTTTTCGCCGGCGAATTTCACAACAAAAGTTTTTTCTCTCACTTGTCCTGGCCTGTTTAAATGCCCTTGTGGTGATCGTATAGTGGTTTTGTTTCTAAGTGTCCAAAACTTTCTAGTAACTGACAATGGTCTTGTGCGTTCTATGTGGAGTCCAGTGAACGAAGTGAAGGGCGGTCTCACAAGCCCCTATTTATCCCTAAGGCCTATGTGACTGACAAATTGGATGGATAACCCGACTTGACCAAGGCTATCAAATTATTCTGAATTTAATTCCATACAATCTAAAGTCAATGGGGTCTAATCAAAATACAAAGCCTACGATTTGGCCACACTTGTTGACAGATATCTTGGTTCAAACTTTTCATGTACACAAAACAAAGCAGACAAACTAACGAGTATCAAACACGTCCAGTTTCATATCAATGAGATCACTAAGACGACCGTGAAACTTTCCCATAATTATCATCAATCTGCGTCTTTTGTACGCCTGTGTTGTGTTACGATTTAGTCCGCCACTTGACGACATCTTGCATGAAAATCGTGATAATGGGAACAGGCCCTAGAATCTCGAATCAACTGCGATCTATAAGCACCATAGGTTGGGGATGCAGGATAATAGCTTTCCAAAAATGGAAAATTCACAATAGGGAAATAGAAGGCTGTCCATGATGGTGTCGTTGTTGCAAATATTGAAGATAGCGGCTGATTTAAAAGAGTATGTCGTGTCCTTGAGAACGAATTCTGGTGGATAAACGATGGACTTGGTCAATATATTTCTTATCATTACAAGTCAAGACGTCATCTGTGTATCTGAAAGTGAAATTAAACGACTTTTCAAGATCTTTGTGACCTGTGTTGATAAGCTTTTTGATAGATTCATACTAAAAATATACAAACTATTAATCCCTTTTCTTCGGTAAACAGTATCACAATAAGACTGTAACAAGATTTGATAGTACTTGGAATGACAGTAAGTAGTTTCTACAAATGTTTGGTTGAACACCTGGACGTGTCATCAATAAAAGGCTGTTTAAATGGATGGTTTGAAGTTCAGAAATCCAGTAAAAACGAAAGAGTTCTGTATCATTATCATTACAATGCAATCCAAATCATTGTGATACTGCAGCATGATTGAAAGTTTGCGTGATGAATAGAAGGAATTTCCTTCGTTATCAAGCAAGCCTGATTCTTTTGTTAAACATAAATTGTAATAATGTTTGCATCACGTAATTGGACGCCTATTTCTGCAGGAACAATAACATTAAATCTAGAGAAGTGAATCTAACATCCAGGTCGAGGCATGCTCGCCTCTGATTTGCCTTCAGTTTTAGATTTCAAGCTGCTAATTCGTTTTAAGAATGATAGACGGAATTAATTCAAGTCACAAATAAAGCTGAATCGAGCTAGGCATGTTTTAGTTTCATCTATTCTTTGACATTGCTTTCAATGGAATATGTAAGTACCTTGAAATTCTTATTCCAGTGAACAGACAGGGTTTCGCGATATTAAAGACCCTTCATGAAAAGCTCTCTTTTGGAAAATGTTTAACTTACCAGTTACTATGTGAGTAGTTGGACTATGTATAAGTAGAGGTAGAACACGAACAATCTGACAGAGGAGTATTGGATTCCTGGATTCCTGGATGCACAAATCAGATATACCCGATCTGTAGGACTTACCCTAGAAAGACACAATTTCAAGATTTCTATTATTAGGAAAGAACGTTGATCGCTTTACTTCTAAAGAATGGATATCAGACGTCTCTCATAAAGTGTAGATATACTAAGGTCCATGATAGAGTAGTTAATATTTATAAAACTCTTTTCACTCGTCCAACATGGAATTCCGAACCTATACGGATATTTCAAGAGGTGACGCAACAACACTATGTGGGTTCCCGCTGTCATTCTGAATACAATGTTACGTTATAGTACCACCTTCGGGTAGTTCAATATGGTCACTCGAATGGTTTCGTAGTATTAGTAAGGGTTATACAAGACATTGCATCCAATGACCGTGGACCAAAACCGGCTCATTTATTCTAATAAGTCGATATGAATTCGTACTTCGTAGTGAAATCGCGAAATTAACCTTTGCGAAAATAACCACGCTAGCAGTCTTAGTTTATCATGTTTAGTCTAGAAAAATAACCCAATGATTTCATTACCCGACAGATCGTCCTCAATGCAGAAATACAGATTGTGTCGTGGGAGATAGTAGGTAGAATATCAAGTCCTACTCTCAGTTGCCTCCAGCAACCCTATATTGGGGACAGTCCACTCTGTTAAGCCCTTCCTGTAAACTAAAAGTTATGAGTTGATCAATATTGAAACAGCTGTTCGTGATAAATTTCGGAAGGGAAGGCCCTTATTTATGGTAGCTCTCTCTAGGATTTATAACACCACTTACTTCTGGGTTCTTTTTCATGGACGATTATCACAGATGTTGGTAATTCGCTTCTGATTTGCCTTATAAATAAATCTGTGTTGATTTAAGAATAAACACCAGTTACTGTAAATACGTAATAATCAAGCTGTGTAAATAATGTTGGTGGTTTTTGCACCAACTCGGTGTTCTTTGAAATTATTCTTTGATGCGGTTACCTAGTAGGTGTTTCTTTTTATTTCAGTTGACCAGTTTTGATTTTCCTTTGTCGCTGATAACAGTTTTATATACCATAAATATTGTTAACGAGTTGACAAAGTCGATACAGAAATAGAATGACAGGTTATAAAATACAACGAAACTAAATATAGAGATTCCTTTTTAATGTAAACTAAATATCATCAAAATTTCAAAATCATCGTTTCACATCAAACTCATTCACACCGCACAACGTTACCTATAGCTTTAAAAGACCTAAATGTATCAAAAAAGGCTTTAAACTATACCGTCATTTACCTAATTCTACGTCACTAATAAAGATCCTTCAAAAAGGTGCACACCGTGATATAAATAACCTCGTTTAGACTGCACATTATCACTGTATAAATGACATCTGGTGTAAAGAACATACCTTTAATTCGGTCAGTTTAGGAATAAAGAATCTTTCAGATATTATAAACGTCCTGTTTTTTATTTAAACCATCCTTGATTTTTTAATTTCGCTGTCCTATGTACGGAATCTTTATGACACACTTTATAAACAAGATATAAAATGTAGATAAAATCATGATCTTCTATATAATATACATCACATACATACGTTACAAACATTAGCCACACTTACACCAGCATTCCTCTACCACACTCATCTACCACAAAACTTATAAACTTAAAAAAATTACATTATTTATTTTTATTTCAACACGCAAGTAGCATACTTTAAACAGACCAAAAGCCGCTTCATATGACGTTGATTAACTAGCAAATATATCCTCATGTTGATATCATATATAGCGACGTTTGACGAAATACTTTTCACTACCGACTAAAACGTGACGTCATATATTGGTGACGTCACAAAGCATGACGTGTTATATCTCTGATGAAATGTTACAATGTTATCGATTAATGTTCACTGAAGATGATGACAAATATATGTATAGTTACACGGACCTTTACTAAATACCCACTATCACAAGAGTTGATATTTTTGGTTTGTTGAAACAGCTTACTAATTAATATTGACCAAATAGAGCTTATTGTTGTCTGGTTGACAAATTATAGTCTTTACCCACAATCTTTCTCTTTTGGATTCATTTCTTATAAAGCAAAATTCTGATATGACTGCATTGGCAGATCTTGACAACAAAATGGACTTGTTAAAGTCAGTATGCAGGAAATGGCGGAAGGGAGATAACTCTTAATGTAATGTCTTTCAAAGATACTTATAAATAAAAGTAAAATTGCATTTTAAATCCATACTTAAAATCTCGTAACGTTGCAGTTGAGCGAAAAAGACAATGAAGAACAGGGGCATTAATGATCTTTAGGAATTTCGTAATTCCTTCGAAAAAAAAAAAAAAAAAAAGAAGAAAAACATATGCCTACCATATTTCGTATTTCCACCGAACCTGATCACAATCGGCAGTATCTAGTTTCTTATTTTCTAAATTCTCTCCAATAGTTAGTTAAAATTAATATTACCGAGACCTAGACCTCCTCTAAAACTTGATCCTATACTACCTAGATCAAACAAAAATTGCCCAGATGACAAAGAATTTGTACTCTGAGTGTTAAGATTCGACGATGCAACTTCTGGAGTAGTGACGTCCGGCTTAGGGGTTGTCGGGGCGGTTTGAAATGGATTTGTCTCCCCTTGGAATAAGTCTGGAACTCTTACACGTGTACCAAGGACATTTGGCGTTGTCACCCTTGGTATCATGGGTACGGTGTTGAGCAGGGAAGATTTGTCGTCAGGCACGAAATTTGGTCTTGTGAAATCCATTTTAGAAAAATCATTTCCAAAAAATAGCATGTTCTCGAAGTCAGGTCCTGGATTAAAAACTGCTGGTTCGCTAGGTGGTGGTTCCATTATGGTACTTTTACTGACGTCACTTACTGATGATGTAGCGATTACTGCTGACGACGATTTTCCGAGAAAAGGTGCCTGAGATGAACTTCTGGAAATGGTATGTGAAACTGTGGCAAGAGACGGTGTAGCAGCAGTTGCCTGAGAATGTATTCCGAATGTATTCGTTGTCCTTCCATCAATATCTGAACTAGACGATTCCATTTCATACGAAGAACTGGAGTACATATTAGTGGAAAGTGTTCCCGTGGTGTATGATGGGCTAATATCTAGCGTCAATGCGCCTGATTTCATACTTACAGATGACTGCACGTTAGCATACAAGCTAAGATCTACGTCACGTGAGTTTGATAATGATGACCCCATAGCTACATTATGACTAGAAGGTACTGATGATACTGTTTTAGACGGGTTAATGTCTCCCTGGTGGGAGTCGGATACCTCCATACCTACAGTTTGGCTAACATCAATTATTGTTGTATCTGATGCTACCATAACTACAGATGAACTAGCGCCTAAAATGGTTGTACTTGTAATAAGGGAGTCCGATTTTATCGTGTCAGACTCTATTTTGCTGGAACTTATTTCACTGAACGATGTCATCGCACTCTCTGGCATTAGATCATAAAAGTCTATATCATCGGTAATTTGAGGCTGAGATGATGACGTTGTTGGATAAATGCCGTCCGTGGTCATTGTACTGGTAGACAATACAACAGTCGAGTCTACGGAAGAAGATGGACCACCTTCAGAGACCGGCAATAGATCATAAAAGTCATAGTCATCCGAGGGCGTCAACTCAGAAGTAGAGGGTGTGAACGAAAGGCTAGATATTGACCAATCAGGACTCTGCATAGTAGAAGACGCTGCCATTGAGTTTTGCATTAAATCATTCTTGTTCGACAGGGTTCCAGATGTAATTACTTGCGTCGCAGTTTCCATGGAAGGCATTGAAATGACTGAAGCAATTAACGTGTTTGACAACATACCTCCATTTTCAGTTTTGTCTGCAAGTCTGACTACACCAGTTCTTCCGTCGGTAGACAAAAAAGAATTGTTGTTCATCATGTAGGTGGTAATTTCTGATTCTACTGTAGTTGTGGGAGTATCCATAATTTGTTCGGTTCTAACACCACGTTTCACCGACGACATAAAACCAGGCTCTGCCGTTAGAACGGGGGTAGCTGTTATCAAAGATGGAAAAGATGAGCTATCAAATACACCAGACGATAAGGTTACTGATTCTAGATAAAGACTGCCGGATGGCTTCAGCGAGTTAACTGAAAGCTTTTCGTCATTTGATTCATAAACAGGGGAATCTGTTGCGTTGAAAATAGAAGACGTTGATACAGTTTCTGAATTAACATCCATAATACCATTCAATGGTAAAGACGATGACGTCACAGGATCAAAGGATGACGAAACGCCTTCTTTCAGAGCGGACATTGTGTATGAATCTGATGAAACATTCTGCCTGGTTGCTATTTCTGGAATTTGAAATTTAGGTTTCTTAGTTGAAGTATATTGAACCATCTTCAATATATTGTCCCAAAAGTCTTTGGGATTAGCTGTACCCATTGCCATGTTTGATATGTCTGATTCGAAAATAGCTCTTCCAATGTCCTGTACAGTTGTAGTAGGAGACTGGGTTGTACTTACAACAGGCACTCTTACCTCGGGTTGTAACAAAGGAACAGAGACTTTCTTTCTGGTGCCATTCACAGAATCTTTGCCATTGTCGAGCTCTCGTGCTTTGTCATGTGACTTGGAAGTCTCGAAAGTGTAGTTCGTTCTTAATTCGGGTACCGTTTCAATAGAAGGTTTATCTGATGTTTTATTAATATCGCTATTCATCATCGGTACTTCAACAGCAGTGGACGAATTGTCCATGACCGCTCCTGACAACAGCGGAGTCGTATCTAACCATTTCATCAGTCTCCTTGGAGTTTCTGACGCTTGCACAGTCACGGTTACAGATGCTGTTATGTTCTGTGGGGAAGTAACAGAACGAAGGGATGTCAAGTGAGAAGTATTAACTACAACTGCAGGACCAAGTATTGCAGTGGACATGGACTCATCCGTTGGTAAAACACTTTCAGAAGGAGCAATGAGAAATTCTGATTCTGGCACAACTGTTTGGTTTTGTAAAGTGATGCTCGATATAAAAGATGACATTACAACAGAAGACGACACCTGTTGAGATGACGCGGAAAGGGGTAAGATACTCTCTCCAGATGGAGATAAAGGTGAGACGGATACAGGTATTTGCGAAGCGATAACTGATCTAAATTGCGATGAAGATATAATTTGTGATGTAAGTGGCACATCAGTTATCATCCTTGTGGATTCCAGAATATTTTCAGATAATGTGTCGGATATATTTTTTAATGGAAGAAGCACAAGACTACCTCCGGATGAAGGTAAAATCGAAGAAGACGTTGATAATTGCGAGCCGATGATTGAATTAAATTCCGAGGAAGGTGTAATGTTTGATGAAAATTGTACTTTTGTTGCCACGAGAGATTCTAGGTTTGGTTCAATTGATGTTTTGGATATTTCTTTAGTAAACATTGAGTCCTCTATATTCTGGGTTAACCTTTCATTTGATATAACAGATGTACTATAGGACACATCTGGATACGAAACAGCTTGTGTATACATTTGCTCTTTGTGCGATCCGTATTCAGAGGATATCATCGATGATGAAATGTGTCTATTCAATTGAGTAGTGTATCCGGGAAATGACGTCATAATTATATCTGACGCTTGGTGTACGGTGGAAGTAGGTGTAATCAAGGGTTCTGAGGATTCTAGTTCCGATAGAATCACTGAATTCAAAACAGAATGGGAAGTATCTGCAAAAAGAGAACTCACAGGTTCTGCACTGTAACTCGACATTTGACTATATTGATGAGACATACTACTACTGAGCTGATCAACCGTAGATGTCGACTTAAAAGTTGATAACGAGGCATCTGCAGATGTCAGTATAGCGGAAGATACATCGGATGCCAAGTCGCCAATAGAAATTGGTGTACTTTCTCTTTGGGTACTACTTATCTCTGTTACGTTTGTTATTGTTTGGGTACTAAATGACGCAAATGGTGTTGAATAGTCCTCCGTCACAATGGCGGATGATACTCTAGATATGGTAGATATATCACTATGACTGACTGGCACATAATCCGATTCTAAAACGGGTTGTGAATACGACGGTGAAGCGACTTCTGCAGAAGACATAACCTCCGATGATGAGGAAGTTCCAACAGAGGTCGACACAGTCATCTGCCCAGACGACGGTGCGGATGTCGATAGTGTAATGACGTCGGAGGCCGTTGCTGAGATGTGGGAATCGTTAGAAGGTACATCCTCCACTAGTTTCTTCACAGAAGAATTCGAACTGAGATTGATCGCATTTGCTACCAGCATCGCCTTAATTTTGTCTGCATCTGACTTAATGAAGGCCTCATCCGCGTTCAATTTAATCTTAATTTCCATTTTCCCAGGACTATAACGAAAACGAAAATGACATTAATTAGGCAACAGTGCATAAAAAATTCTTAAGGTGGAGCGTGCCACTGATCAGCGTTGTACCTCCTGAGACGAGTTCTTATCATTTACCAACCTCGCCTCCTACACCTTACTTTATGTGTATATAAAAAGGTAACATGTCAACTTTGAATCAAATAGAAAAATACAAGTACGTACAATCTACCTTAAAGGAAATACATATCAACAACCGGAAGTATACAGGGCAAGATTACATAGACAGATACCTATATACATGAATGCGCAAACATACGACAACGTATTTTTGAAGTACGATAATGATAAAATGTCCTAACGTGCACACAATGGCTTATTTCACATCACACTGACAACAAGCTTGTCAGCCTTACTTGTGATCAATCGTAAGATAAACGCCAAGTAAAGGATGGTTGAAAAAGGAAAAACAAGTGAGACGTTGAGGATGTTGATGGACATTATGATATTTGTAACATCGTCGGAGGCAGAGGGGTCACATACTTTTATAATCAACCAATCTGGTTGTTGTAGGGTTTTCAGGCAGAAAACAGACATAGAAGGTTTTACAACAATATTCGGAAGCATCCGAAGTTTTTTCGGTACGGCGTTACTAATGAAAATAATGAAGGGGAGTCAAATCTACAAATGTTAATTCGTGTGACTGGTGATGGAGCTATAAAAAAACAGTAACAGTAAAGGGCGTTGGTTATGGATGGCCCCTGCTAATAAGAAAGGTTCTCGAAACGTCAGCTATGGTTATGAGGCTCCTTTTACTCAAACCGTTTGGTCTTTCAACGAATGATTTGTTTTAATTTTATTGCCCCCAGTTTCGCTGACAATAACATCTGAATATACATTTGATATGAAAATGATATGTACCTGTTTAACAAAATCACGCTGCATTCTGTTATCTTGGTAGACTGGTGTGGGTTGTCTTGGAGATCAAACATGGCATTCATCTGGAAACAAGCAGATTAGCTGTAAGATCTTATTTATATTGCTAAATTCATATTTTACCGCTGCACGTTAAAACAAATTTGCAATTTTATTCTATACACAAACACACAATATTGTATCTATTAAAAACCGGTCTCTAGTTATTTAGTTACTACATTAGTGATAGAATTAAAGAGACGTGAATAATTTGAATATTAGTACAAAAACCATAATGTTTTTGTTTGATTCAGGGCAGTAAACAGAGAGTATTACTTCTAACCAATATTTGTGACTCACCAATTCACAAATACCACTACCAAAATCCGCCTCTTTCTCTCTCAGTACATCCTTGTTCAGAGTTGTGTTGCCTGCAAGCCATAAACGGTAGAAAGTCGAAAGGTTGAAATGTTACAATGGCTATCTATTGATAACTGAACAAATGTATTATGTAAAGGATGACAAATTACTTGTTAGATACACGTATATCTATTTCAAATCAACCTTTTTTCTTCCTGCTATAGTTCATGTTTTAATCACAGCTTATTCCCAGTTCTTTGGTTACGGTATTTACGAATATACAGTATTTGAGTCAGAAATGAGGATGCAGACAAGAATTTATAAACTCATAAGGTTTTCATCTGAAAACGTGATTATATTTAATTTTATCACATTTTTTCACGCATTTCCGCCAGTGATGTCATTGATTCCTGCTTAGACATCCATGTTTATCATAAATTTGCAACAGTAATAATTCTAGTTAGAAACATGCATTTCCATTGTATACAAAACTAATAGTAACAAACTCTCTCGGTTAACATATTTTTGTTGTCATATAAGACTGAATTTATTGAAGAGCTTATCAAAAAAAAGGTAACAAAAACCTGCCAAAGTTCTTCAGTATCACTTTCAGACATATTGTTGATGTCCTGTCGTTAAATTGTTGTCTTTCAATTATTTTTACCCGTGTCAAACGTATTTATCCACATTAATTTCAAATCAAGGACACGAGTGAGCCGCTCACCTCGATCTTTTCATACAAAGAAGCCATCAAGGACAGCTTTCCATCATCTGTATAAAAGTGATGATTTCAATTTCCTTAATACAATTTTTTCCATTTCTGGACAGTAACAGTCATGCACTCCCAACCTATGATGTTTAAATGTTTAAATGTCGCAGTTGAATCGGTAACTAAGGACTTGTTTCCAATATCACGATTGAGTGTGCAAGATGTTGGCACCTGACAGATAGCCTGATGGTCTGAAGCGATGCATGTTGATGAAGATTACTGGGAAGTTTAACGGTTGTCATAATGATCTCAATGGGAATTATTCTATCTACTTGTACAACGTGAAGCTGGACGTGTTTGATGCTCGTTAGCATGCTAATGGTTTGCTATTAACCTCGATCTCTTTTGGATGTGTCACATTACTTACTCTGATTTAACCAAGATTAACATCGCAAGTGTCATCGATGAAGCAGATGACTCTCAACCTTTGGGAACACCTGGTCTTGTTATTCTTGTATTTTTCAGAAATATCCGTGTAAATATTTCTCCTTGTTAAATCGATTCAAGTTTGAGTTAGATTCTGTTGAAATGTTGGTCTATAGATCTATTAGATATAGTCAAGCTACAGATAGGCATTCCATGTAGTTCAAGCGTTACACATTGTACAAACCTGTACTTTTGGTCCTGTAGAACTTTGGATGTGGGTTCGACACTGAAAGTAAAATGCGTAATTAATTATTATGATAGTTGCATTTATCTTTTTAAATCGATCAAAATGTAATAGACTCTAAAGATTCAATACGAAAAATTTTAAAACTTCAACTTACACATAATTGCTAATGTGACGGCAACTGCGATAGCCACGCCCAGACTGACCAATAGCATCGTTGCGAAACACACCCGACATTGTGGAAATCGACCATTTTTCTTTTTTTCCGGGTCCTTTAGTGAGTAGACACTTATGCTCCTCCTGGTGGCAAGGTCGTCAGGATGCAAGGAATAATGGTAGAACGAGGCTGGGTTCTCGGCCGTGTATGGGCTTTCGTATGTAGACATCTGGGCTTCCTCTACACTACTACGGTCACGGTTCGCGAGTCCAGTCAGCCGTGGCCACTAAAAAAGAAAACGAGTACTGTGAACAACCCATATGTATTATGAGTATATTTTGGAAATAAAACGTTCATGCACGAAAATGTTAAACTATAAAATCCGTAACTGCAATAAGTAACTGCATTTTTATTTGTCTTCCCCTTACCTTTGTGCAAAATTGATTATAATGATGATATATAGGTGTGAACATGTTATTTATAGTGTATGGACATGGTATTATAGCTGTCTATATCTCATCATAATCATCTAAATGTTTGACATTTTACCTCTATCGACCAAGCGCTTGATTGTTATGTTCACAAGTAATGCCTTACTGTGTGTAATGACTCAAATTATTTACATAAAGTAGAGGATGACTACAATTATTTCTCTCGTGATGACGAGCTTAATACATCTGCAGTTTCTAGGTATTCAACACCAAATTATACACTAAAGAGAGAAAAATACAGACAGTGCGATTTTTTCGTAATAAGATATAATAAAGGCGGATATTAAAGGTACTTAAGGCTGTGTAGAATTATGAAAGACAGAAAAAAAGCTGTGAAAAACCGTCGTAAGCAGAGAAATTGGTGAAATAATATTTGCATTACATACGTAAGTGCAGTGTATACCCAACAACAATAAGTCACTCACGTGATAAATGCTGTGCCACTTCAATATGAAGGGCCACGTCCTCTTCAAGATGAAACAGGAGTTTATAGCACAATGTGAGCAGGATAAAACAAACAACAACAAAGTGTTGTAAACTCGATCGTTGAGTTTTTTGTTTAAGAATTCGACAAAGACAAACAAACAAAAACGCAATACGTAAATATCAAGGTAAACCAGCTAATGTATACATGTGGTAAGTAATCCAAACTTATAACTTTAATTTTTAGAAACTAAAACACAAATTCTGACAATGGATTTAGTGAGTTACAAATTATGTCGAGTAAATAAGCTAACATACAAACTACTACCATCGAGTAATCGAGTAACACACAAACTATGACGATCGAGTAATCGAGAAACACACAAACAATGACGATCGAGTAATCGAGTAACACACAAACAATGACGATCGAGTAATCGAGAAACACACAAACAATGACGATCGAGTAATCGAGTAACACACAAACAATGACGATCGAGTAATCGAGTAGTCACACACAAACAAAGACGGTCGAGTAATCGAGTAGTAACACACAAACAATGACGATCGAGTAATCAGATAGTAACAAACAAACAATGACGATCGAGTAATCGAGAAACACACAAACAATGACGATCGAGTAATCGAGTAACACACAAACAATGACGGTCGAGCAATCGAGTAGTAACACACAAACAATGACGATCGAGTAATCGAGTAACACACAAACAATGACGGTCGAGTAACCGAGTAGTAACACACAAACAATGACGATCGAGTAATCGAGTAGTAACACACAAACAATGACGATCTAGTAATCGAGAAACACACAAACAATGACGATCGAGCAATCGAGTAGTAACACACAAACAATGACGATCTAGTAATCGAGAAACACACAAACAATGACGATCGAGTAATCGAGTAGTAACACACAAACAATGACGATCGAGTAATCGAGAAACACACAAACAAAGACGGTCGAGCAATCGAGTAGTAACACACAAACAATGACGATCGAGTAATCGAGTAGTAACACACAAACAATGACGATCGAGTAATCAGATAGTAACAAACAAACAATGACGATCGAGTAATCGAGAAACACACAAAAAATGACGATCGAGTAATCGAGTAACACACAAACAATGACGATCGAGTAATCGAGTAGTAACACACAAACAATGACGATCGAGTAATCGAGAAACACACAAACAATGACGATCGAGTAATCGAGAAACACACAAACAATGACGATCGAGTAATCGAGTAACACACAAACAATGACGATCGAGTAATCGAGTAGTAACACACAAACAATGACGATCGAGTAATCGAGAAACACACAAACAATGACGATCGAGTAATCAGATAGTAACACACAAACAATGACGATCGAGTAATCGAGAAACACACAAACAATGACGATCGAGTAATCGAGTAACACACAAACAATGACGATCGAGTAATCGAGAAACACACAAACAATGACGATCGAGTAATCGAGTAACACACAAACAAAGACGATCGAGTAATCGAGTAACACACAAACTATGACGATCGAGTAATAGAGTAACACACAAACAATGACGATCGAGTAATCGAGTAACGTGTCCAAACTATGTCGAGTAAATAGATTATATACACACAAACTCGATAAAGTAACCGAGTTACATACGAACCATGAAGTGCAAAGAGGAAGAGAGGGCAAACACACACATAGATAAACCAATATCTAACCAGTATATATATTTCCTTTCTGTTTATTGTGGTGTTTTGGTATAGTGTTTGGAATGATTTGATACAATAATATCAATATAAATAGTGACATAATGACATGTCTTGAGTCAATTAGCGATATGGAGGGGAGATTATTTTGAAAATGGGATGTCGGTTTGTTCGGGCGAAACCGAGGTTCCGAAAATTGTTTCACAGCAGCATACCTATAATAATAGCTGTAAACTGTGTGTTATGTTTTCAGTTCCCGGGAAGTTCGGGGAAACACAGGTATACATAGTGCGCAATAATACCACGTCGTTGTGTGACAGTGATGAGATACGAGTGGTCAGTCTAATCGATAAAGGGCGGACATATTTATAGGTCCTTTATTGATCTCGTGAGCATGACCAATACTTTGGTGCTTATAGCACCTCCTCGTATAGAAACGGGACAAAAATATAAGTATGAAATATGACACAGGTCAGTGCGAATCGTGTGTTGTAACACCGTAGGTTAGGTATAGTACATAGGTATATCGTTAAACACAGGTAAAGACAGGTATATATATAATGTAATGGATTACATATGTATTTATACCCGGTTACATATCATCACATAATAATGTCTAAAACCTCACACTGTCATTCGGAAGTATTCTTACAGCAAAACTTGTCTGAGATGACCCATGTACCCCGTAATTCAACAAAATTACCAGTATTCAACATGACCTTAACATACACAAGTTCTGTTTGATAACTTCTTTATTCAACGCGTAAGATGGGAATCATAAGACATAATGTCAGTACCCACGTCATATCAATAAGGTTGTATTGTAAACATTTTTTTCTAGAATTTCATTCAATATGTTTACAAATTAAAATCTAAAAAATACCGTGATATTCCTGATCTAAGAAAAGATAACTCTACATCCGCTGTGTTATTGTTCTGTATGACAAACATTAAACATAAATAGTCTATTCAATATTTATCAACGATTGTTGCAGCTAAGTGTTTGTCGCCAAACGTATATTGCATACAATTTAAAATGTTTAGCTTAAGGTAAAATTTACCCCTGGGGTACCCAATATTTATCAATCAATCAATCGATAGTGATAGCAGAGACGTGAAAGAGGTCTTCCCTGAGATAAAAAAACAGCGTCAGAACAGAGACGATTATAACGGTGATTTAGAAGTCTCTGATCAGAATAATAGGCATGTAAATTACTTGCATACTTAAGGCCTGCACTTATTGTTTTCAAAATAAATAAAAATAAATAAATAAAGACGTTCGCTTTGACAGATAAATACATGTACAACGTTTGCATTGTACCGGATAATCATGACACAAATGTAATATTAAAAACGAGGTAAATGTATTCATATTTTGTTTACAAAAAGAACTACATAAAATAATATCATCTTAATATTGATGAGTTTTGTAAGCTTTATCTATATATTGTTTACACAAAAACAACTTGATAAAAGATAAGATTATGTTAATATTGATAAGTTTGGTAACCTTCATCTATATATTGTTTACAAAAGAATTTGATAAAAGATAAAATTATCTGAATATTGATAAGTTTGGTAAACTTTATCTATATATTGTTTACAAAAGAATTTGATAAAAGATAAAATTATCTGAATATTGATAAGTTTGGTAAACTTTATCTATATATTGTTTACAAAAGAATTTGATAAAAGATAAAATTATTTGAATATTGATAAGTTTGGTTAACTTTATCTATATATTGTTTACAAAAGACCTTGATAAAAGATAAGATTATGTAAATATTGATAAGTTTGGTAAACTTTACCTATATATTGTTTACAAAAGACCTTGATAAAAGATAAGATTATGTTAATATTGATAAGTTTGGTAAACTTTACCTATATATTGTTTAGTGGAAATATCCATGGATAACAACGCCGTGTGTAAATACGGGGATCAAAATATATCCAAATTGAAAATCATAATTTAAAAAAAGTGAGATGATATCAAATGACCGTACCTTATCTTGAGGGCGGCTGGTCCAGTTATCCATGTGCCGCAATGCGAAATTCGCCTAAAAATCGAAAAAATATATTTCCGGACCCAAGTCGGTCTAAGTAACACCATTCAATACATACAGATCATGGCGTCTATGAGTGACCAGCAAATGACCAGTGTCCAGTGTCCATAGTTAGCCAATGGAATGTCATTCTTATTGTCTCGCGAACATAAAATGTCAATGATGCATTATGGCGCTGATGGCTACTGACATGGTACACACATAAAAAACAAGTCGAGCGGTCCCACTTATGTATCGTCACACCTGAGTAATGTACAGATAACACAGTCACGTGCACACAGGTAAAAACATTATCACCTGTGCATGTAGCTAATTCATCACAATTACACGGATCAGTTCTAGTACATCCCGCCACCTACTTCCTCCTCATCCTCCTCCTCTTACCTACAGTATTAGTCACTCAAACTACTTCTGTTTGAGTCAACTGTCAGGATATCTTCGCACTCCATTGCTCTCACCTCCCCTCCAACCCCCAACCCTACAACCCCCACCCCACCAACCCACCCCTCCCTTCTTAAATTTGGATAAAATAATATGTGTGCGTTCGTCCGAAAAACGTTATGCCAAAGAAAATATCTAGAAATCATTTGTTCATTTTTATTAGATTTTTAATTATTTTCAAGATGTTATAGAACTAAGAAATAAAATAATTGATTCAACACAGAACTGTAGATGTTGTTGTCGTACTGCATGTGCACATGATGATTTGTTGTGTGAATTTGACCGACATGCGCAGTGAATGAGTAGCGTTGACTTAAATCGTGTCGCAGTTCTAGTTTCTTCAAGTACTTGGGCATGAGTTGAATAAAAGATCTATGTAAACAATTCTAAATATTCTGGAATGGTACGACATAAAAAGAGATTATGGGGCGTCGTCTGGTAACGTTATTTATTACCAGTAATTAGTACATAATTCTACCTGTCAAACCAGGTACAAAATATCTGTCATGTCCATAATATGAATGATAATTGGTGTTGACATGAATTGCTATGAGATAAAAAGGCTCATATACTAATTAAAATAGAAATAAACATAAACATCTAAATTCCTTTTAGTATAGCGGATTAAATGTAGTTTTGTCCCTTCTAGTCAGAAACTGCGAAAAGGGAGGCATTTGCGCGATCTGTAAATTTGAATTCTAATGTAAACAAATTTTATCGCATAATACAATACAATGGATTGTACACAAGTTATCACAGCTTATCAATGTCCTCTCCATAACATTAGTATACCAAAGCAAAGCATAGTAATGACCTTATAATAACCAGTAAAAGATATATTTTACAAGGTTTTAGAAATTTTTAAAAATCAAAATGAAATGTTTAGAGGTCGAAAACAAGACAGAAGACACTATGTGTTAACCTGTTTTTAGGCAAACCTTTCACTATCAAGTTCTGAATATAAATTACTTCATTTGATTTTAAGTTAAAAGAATTATCAACCATACAAATTTGATTTTTTGTTGATTATCTTCGAGAACAAACGTAAAAAATATAAAGATAAAGAATATTTTGGAACATTTTCTTAAGTTGGTAATGTCAATAGAATAGAAGTTCTTATAACACATCCAGTAGATTTGTGACGTTTCGGTGACTACACGGTCACCTTATAGTTCTTAAAACACAACCAGTAGAAGATTAGAGTGTGACGTTTCGATGACTACACGGTCACCTTCATCTTATAACACAACCAGTAGAAGATTAGAGTGTGACGTTTCGATGACTACACGGTCACCTTATAGTTCTTATAACACAACCAGTAGAAGATTAGGGTGTGACGTTTCGATGACTACATGGTCACCTTCATCTTATAACACAACCAGTAGAAGATTAAAGTGTGACATTTCGATAACTACATGGTCACCTTATAGTTCTTAAAACACAACCAGTAGAAGATTAGAGTGTGACGTTTCGATGACTACACGGTCACCTTATAGTTCTTATAACACAACCAGTAGAAGATTAGGGTGTGACGTTTCGATGACTACATGGTCACCTTATAGTTCTTATAACACAACCAGTAGAAGATTAGAGTGTGACGTTTCTATGACTACACGGTCACCTTATAGTTCTTATAACACAACCAGTAGAAGATTAGAGTGTGACGTTTCTATGACTACACGGTCACCTTATAGTTCTTATAACACAACCAGTAGAAGATTAGAGTGTGACGTTTCGATGACTACACAGTCACCTTCATCTTATAACACAACCAACCAGTAGAAGATTAGAGTGTGACGTTTCGATGACTACACGGTAACCATCATCTTATAACACAACCAGTAGAAAATTAGAGTGTGACGTTTTCGATGACTACACAGTCACCTTCATAAGACAAATGATCAGTGTGGAGCACACTAGCATTGACGCACGTTGTGTACGAGATGGTAAGAAATCGGCCAACTTTTTTCGGCTATACTATAATCCTTTGTAACTAAGGTCGAAAATACTGTGACGAGATGGTAAACAGATTATAGACCAAAATATACACAAGACGGTAACAATGTACTATAGTCAATTCGGCTCCTTTGTTACAAGAACTTCTACTCCGTAAATAAAGGATAAATAGGTTATTGGTTTTATTAAGCTTTGTATGACGAATATGTAGGTGGTTTTCCAGTTCATTAATAAAACAATATCGTTTAACTTCTGTAATTTTCAACTGGCAATGCTGTCTTTCTTCCTCTTTTTTTCATTAATTCTATGAAATCTCTGAAATGATGATTGTCAATTTTATGAATGATTTATTTATTTCCATGTAAAAATATGACGTTCTATACAACAACCAGTACCTTTCTTAGATTGTTTAGAAGTTTATTAGTATAGTCATACAGTACTTCACAGAAAACACAAGATTTAAAAGCCCACAAGGATATGTTTAACTCTACATAAAGATATTTTCCCGTGAATTACGTGGTTATCTCCTCCTACTTATCTATGACGTCATGTCAGAGAGACATCTATGACGTCAACACGTTTTTCGATTTTTGGCCACATGTTGAAATCGAAACGCATCCCATTTTTATCCTTTATCTACAACGAAAATATGGGTAACAAGGTTGGAAAAGAACTTATAGAGAATGGAGAGGAAGAAAAAGAATATGAAATTTCTTTTCTTCAAGGCAGAATGTCAGCTATGGAAATAAGGGAAAAGGTCGTTGGGGCTGAGATTTCCACGGGAACTGAAGCCAGCAAGAAAGAAGGAGGTATCGCGTATTTTGTCGGGTTTGAGGAAAAGAAACCTATGCCCCCACCTCCAGCACGGCTTCTTAATCGACCAAGAATCATGAACAAGACCGTTAAAGACATCTATGACGACGAAGAAAAACAACTTATGGCGGAAATATTACAAAACGATTCCATGAGCAACAGAGGTAACGTTGAAGGCTTTTTAGTTATTTTGAATTTCCGAAACAAAAATATTTGGAAAATATTCGGTTATGAATTGAATTGAACTATGATTACAACTGTACTGTAACGTACAGGGTGTGGACAAAAATACAGTCAAATGGAGTCTGGTACATAGTGTTAAATACGGTCTCTGTCACTCAGCTGACGGAGCATGCTGGCTTATCACGCTGGAGACCCTGGTTCGATTCCTGGTCCGGACACGCGACAGGAATGTGTAATTTCCCTGTTATTCTACAATAATATTTATCCTTCAGCTGGCGCTGCCATTGTAATACTCCTGCCACATATATTTTTGTTTACATTCGACCAAATGCTCGCCGCTTTCTTCATCCTTGTTAAAATCAAGCTTATATTTACAGACACTGGCCATGTATTCTCTATATTTAAGATAAACCTTTCAATGATCGTTGACCTATTGTCATTAAGTCTGTTTTAGTAATTCGACATAGGCCGCCAAAAGACATGTTTCCTCGGTAAGGTCGCGATATTTCCGCACGCAGATGTTTTGAAAAATGAATATACTTTGATGAAAAAGATACGTGATATTTTGGTACGACTGATGATATTTTACAGGTATTTCGGCTGCTACGCGAGAAGAGCGTCACGCTCTTGCCAGACTACGTCGAGAGGAAATGGCTATTCTGAAGCACAAACGTCACGAAGCAAGGATGAGAGCAATAGAAGAGAGCGGAAGGCGCCGAGACGAACTGTTAAATCAACGACGTACTTCTTCGCGTAGCAGGTCGAACCTCGTGTCTACCAGTGCGCACGTTCGTAAAGAGGAAGGCGCGGATATGACGTCACGCAAGAAAGGAAATCTCGTGTCGTCTAGTTACACTTATGTACAAAGGACTCTCGAGACATGACTGTATGCAAAATCATTTTAGTGTCTTATATTTTGACTGAGCTTCCGTTAGTGCCAAAAGTTATATGGTTTCGTTTTAATATTCATGCATCTCAATATTTCTTTTGAGCTCTCTTGAGGAGTGACGCTGTCGATTAGAAAAGTTTCTTTTAATAACAATGCATTAAATTGTTACGTGAAATTTGTAAAAACCGAAAAAAAATCTAAACTGTATGACACCTAGAACAATACAATTTATTTGAAATTATGTTATTTAGCTGGCTTTCGTATGGTTGAGTTTTAACATAGTGTTTTTAATGATCAACAACACCACGTGTTGTCTAACGAGTGATCGTTTTACCATCGCTGACGGACGAGTAGAAGCAGTTAAGCACATTTGTAATAATAAACTCCAAATGTATCAGTATCTTCAAATTATCGAACGTTATTAAATATGCATGTATATGTATGACCAGACAATATTGTATATTAAAATAGGGTATTACGATACGATGACCGTTTGTATTTATCAGTTACAGCACACAAGTAGGCAGCAGCTACAGCACACAAGTAGGTAGCAGTTACAGCACACAAGTATGTATTAGTTACAGCACACAAGTAGGTAGCATTTACAGTACACAAGTAGGTAGTACTTACAGCACACAAGTAGGTATCAGTTACAGCACACAAGTAGGTAGCACTTACAGCACACAAGTAGGTATTAGTTACAGCACACAAGTAGGTAGCAGTTACAGTACACAAGTAGGTAGCATTTACAGTACACAAGTAGGTAGCACTTACAGCACACAAGTAGGTAGCAGTTACAGCACACAAGTAGGTAGCACTTACATCACACAAGTAGGTAGCACTTACAGCACACAAGTAGGTATCAGTTACAGCACACAAGTAGGTAGCACTTACAGCACACAAGTTTGTATCAATAACAGCACATAAGTAGGTATTAGTTACAGCACACAAGTAGGTAGCAGTTACAGTACACAAGTAGGTAGCATTTACAGTACACAAGTAGGTAGCACTTACAGCACACAAGTAGGTAGCAGTTACAGCACACAAGTAGGTAGCACTTACATCACACAAGTAGGTAGCACTTACAGCACACAAGTAGGTATTAGTTACAGCACACAAGTAGGTATTAGTTACAGCACACAAGTAGGTAGCAGTTACAGCACACAAGTCATAATAGACTTCAGGTAAACCAGTATCATTATTATTAAAGATATTAATATACATTGAAATATACATTGAAGTTCTATGGTTTGAATTTGATGTGGTAAACATCGAAATTGCTCAAAATAATTTGATTTGCGTTCAAGATATTTACCACATTTGTATTTTGGAATGGAAATGCTGAATGAAACGCTATGAAAATTGTTATCATTTGAGAAGCGTCACATTCGGTATATTGTTGATATTTTCATGGTTCTTGTTATTTGAAATGTCAGCTATGTACATTATGTATACTACAGTCCTGAATGATAATACAAGAATCACTTATTTCCTACACCTGTGCTTAGATCAGAACGGTTGCTATTAAACGACATCTTGTTTGTTCGTCAATCTGGTCAACGGTTCATCTAGTCTCCCAGGTTCTCAAATAAGACGTTTGATAAATTGACGTGCATATTGCTGTCTAGTGACGTAATGAAAGTATAATATCTCGTCACGTAAATCGCCAACACCATATCTGCACGTTTACTTTTGGTCGAAGATACTTCTGCCTGTGCTCATATGTATACAAATGGCTTACAGTTTTCCTTTATGGCTGCTGTGTGCAGGCTGTATTCAGAAAAAAGTTACACGTTTGCGTTTATCTTCACAGAGAATGTAATCGCCTGATTCGAGCTAAACGTAACAGAATAATAATGATAATAAGACGGAAAAAATGAATTTTCAATAAATTCGGATAGGTTATCTCAGTGAGATATATCCAAATACCATTTATCAGGAAAATATCTTGGATATGTATTTTTAACAGATCGTCAGAGTTGTTACCTGAAACACTATGCAGTGAGCATGCCATTTATCAGGAAAATATCTTGGGCATGTGGTGTTTTTTTTACAGATCATCAGAGTTGTTACCTGAAACACTATGCAGTGAGCATGCCATTTATAGAACTATAACGTTTTATATGCTTTTATTGTTTCATTCACGTAAACACATCCACAAATCCTATTTAAAGCAACAAAGTATATCAAATCAATATGTTGCCTTTTTATAAGTGCTCAAACGCCATCTCACTTCGGTTGAATGTGTTACTTATCTGCTTCTTATTTGATGTAGCCAGAAACATACTTTTTTTTATACTTTTACTCCTAAATGATAGATAAAAGATTACAAGATTACAAATGTTATACAAACATAGGATTGGGATTGCTGTTGAGATAGTCTCTCTTGCAATTTTGACAAGTAAAATGTTAGTACCTTCCAAAGATTTGTTTGTGATTAAAATTATGATGGGTTTTCATTAGATGGCACATCAACCTAACTTGAAGGACCGGTAAAAAGTTCATACTGCAAAAGTAACATTCAAAATGATTTGTTGTTTATATACTAGTGTGTACATGATTATAAAAAAAACTCACGCTGCTCCTACATACACACTATCAATGCATTTTACTTCAGCATAGTAGAACGCAAACGATCATATGAAAGAGTAGAGAACACAAACGATCATATGAAAGAGTAGAGAACACAAACGTTCATATGAAAGAGTAGAGAACACAAACGATCATATGAAAGAGTAGAATACAAACGATCATATGTAAGAGTAGAGAACACAAACGATCATATGAAAGAGTAGAGAACACAAACGATCATATGAAAGAGTAGAACACAAACGATCATATGAAAGAGTAGAGAACACAAACGATCATATGTAAGAGTAGAGAACACAAACGATCATATGAAAGAGTAGAATACAAACGATCATATGTAAGAGTAGAGAACACAAACGATCATATGAAAGAGTAGAACACAAACGATCATATGAAAGAGTAGAGAACACAAACGATCATATGAAAGAGTAGAGAACACAAACGATCATATGAAAGAGTAGAACACAAACGATCATATGAAAGAGTAGAGAACACAAACGATCATATGAAAGAGTAGAGAACACAAACGATCATATGTAAGAGTAGAGAATACAAACGATCATATGTAAGAGTAGAGAACACAAACGATCATATGTAAGAGTAGAGAACACAAACGATCATATGTAAGAGTAGAGAATACAAACGATCATATGTAAGAGTAGAGAATACAAACGATCATATGTAAGAGTAGAGAATACAAACGATCATATGAAAGAGTAGAACACAAACGATCATATGAAAGAGTAGGGAACACAAACGATCATATGTAAGAGTAGAGAACACAAACGATCATATGAAAGAGTAGAGAACACAAACGATCATATGAAAGAATAGAGAACACAAACGATCATATGTAAGAGTAGAGAACACAAACGATCATATGTAAGAGTAGAGAACACAAACGATCATATGAAAGAGTAGAACACAAACGATCATATGTAAGAGTAGAGAACACAAACGATCATATGAAAGAGTAGAGAACACAAACGATCACATGAAAGAGTAGAACACAAACGATCATATGTAAGAGTAGAGAATACAAACGATCATATGTAAGAGTAGAGAATACAAACGATCATATGAAAGAGTAGAGATCACAAACGATCATATGAAAGAGTAGAGAACACAAACGATCATATGTAAGAGTAGAGAACACAAACGATCATATGAAAGAGTAGAGAACACAAACGATCATATGAAAGAGTAGAGAACACAAACGATCATATGAAAGAGTAGAGAACACAAACGATCATATGAAAGAGAAGAACACAAACGATCATATGAAAGAGAAGAACACAAACGATCATATGAAAGAGTAGAGAACACAAACGATCATATGAAAGAGAAGAACACAAACGATCATATGAAAGAGAAGAACACAAACGATCATATGAAAGAGTAGAGAACACAAACGATCATATGTAAGAGTAGAGAACACAAACGATCATATGTAAGAGTAGAGAACACAAACGATCATATGAAAGAGTAGAGAACACAAACGATCATATGTAAGAGTAGAGAACACAAACGATCATATGTAAGAGTAGAGAACACAAACGATCATATGAAAGAGTAGAGAATACAAACGATCATATGAAAGAGTAGAGAATACAAACGATCATATGTAAGAGTAGAGAACACAAACGATCATATGTAAGAGTAGAGAACACAAACGATCATATGTAAGAGTAGAGAACACAAACGATCCTATGAAAGAGTAGAGAACACAAACGATCATATGTAAGAGAACACAAACGATCATATGAAAGAGAACACAAACGATCATATGAAAGAGAACACAAACGATCATATGTAAGAGAACACAAACGATCATATGAAAGAGAACACAAACGATCATATGAAAGAGAACACAAATGATCATATGAAAGAGAACACAAACGATCATATGAAAGAGAACACAAACGATCATATGAAAGAGTAGAACACAAACGATCATATGAAAGAGTAGAGAACACAAACGATCATATGAAAGAGTATAGAACACAAACGATCATATGAAAGAGAACACAAACGATCATATGAAAGAGAAGAACACAAACGATCATATGAAAGAGTAGAGAACACAAACGATCATATGTAAGAGTAGGGAACACAAACGATCATATGAAAGAGTAGAGAACACAAACGATCATATGAAAGAGTAGAGAACACAAACGATCATATGAAAGAGTAGAGAACACAAACGATCATATGTAAGAGTAGAGAACACAAACGATCATATGTAAGAGTAGAGAATACAAACGATCATATGTAAGAGTAGAGAATACAAACGATCATATGTAAGAGTAGAACACAAACGATCATATGAAAGAGTAGAGAACATAAACGATCATATGAAAGAGTAGAGAACATAAACGATCATATGTAAGAGTAGAACACAAACGA